CCAAATCTAAATCTAAACTAATCGGCGATTAAGTTTAAGGCTTTATACCTCCAAAAGATGTTAGATGAAAACCCAAGTCTGGATCCACAAGTTCCAAGCTTCCCAACACCTCACAAATGGACCCATTCTTCTTCAATATGCACAAAAACACACAAAGTAACACTCTAAGAGATTAAGGACCTCACTAGGTGGCTAAGCTTTCGAATGAATGGAAAAAGGAGAGTGGAGTTTGGTTATGAAGAGGCCTTGAGGGTCCTAAGGTGTTTAAATATGGTCCAAACCTTAAAAATTAGTTTATGGGGTCTGCATGAGTACACCTTACGTACCACCTGAGTACAAACGGTGTACGCAAAAGAATCCCACATCCCTTAAATGAATTACGCTAGGCGTACGCATGGATTACGACCTGCGTTGTAACGACCCAAAAATAAGACCCTAAAACATTCATTTTTAAATTGATGAAACAGTAAACCTATCATTATCATAAAAATAAGGTAATCAAATTCTATCATTATATTATCATTATCAAAGTAAATCACAAAATGCAAAATCGTATGGTGAGTCCCGTACAATCATCCTGAGCTCTTCCTGCTAAAACTAGAATTACCTAAAACATAAACTGAATATCATAAGCATGGAGCTTAGCGAGCTCCCAAAAATACCCCATACCATACATAATAACTCACACACTGGGCCCCCGCCCGGTATCGAGTCCTACTCTGCTTCGGGCCCCGTCCAACATCAAGCCCTGCTCGATATACATATCTGTTATTCTTAGGCCCCACATGACACCGGGATCCGCCCACGATACACGTACAATATATATCACATAATCATGCTAACACATACAATGATCATAATGATAGGTTTTGAGCATTCTAACACTCCTATGGTATGCATGCAACCCTATGTTCCATGGATATATGTTTTCACTATTATACATGCAAATATACAAAATTCCAAAGCATCATCCTAACTAGCATATTATGGAGAAACTATACTACAAAAGTCTAGTTAGATGACATACCTTATGATGGAGATTGAAGTCATGAACCTTTAAGAGCTTAGCCCTAATAGTGTGGAAGCCTCAAATGGAATCACACAACACCACCAACAAATGGAAGAACTTGAGAAGAAGGTTATTTTGGTTCTCCCTATGAAAATTGGCCCTTTCCCTCACTTTGTGTATCCACTAGTGCCATTTCATGAACCATGGGTTCCTTTATATAGTGTGGCTCATTAGGGTTACACCATGTAAGCCCTAATGTGCATGACTTTCCATTTCCTTCGCGATCCATGGGTTTTAACCTCCATGGAGCATCCATGGGTTACCATATGGGTTAAGCCCAACATGAAGGATAATGGATCACAAGCCCACATATATACAAATTAATGATTTACATAATCAATACTCATATATTTAATTAGTCTCTTTTGATGACAAAATTAATTCCAAATCAATTCTTGATCAATACTAATTAAATAATATGATTTCATATTAATATATTAGCACTTATAATATATTATTATAAATCATAAATAACCTTTTCTCACATGTTTATCCAATTGTTCCGATGACATGACACCTAAATGGACCATGCTACTCTCGGGTCGAGTACATACCAATAATATTTATGGTCTTAGACATCTAATCCAATAGTCTCCCACCTGGATAAGTCTAAAACTATTATTCAAGTATGATTCCAAGATCCCAACTAGCAATCGTAGCTCTTAAAGCTACTGTCGAACTTTGACCTAGTCAAATGACGTGTCCATTAGATACGGGATCATATATTCCTCCATTCTAAATATCATATGGACTGAGACATGGATTATAATCATTCTATCTGTCCATTTTTTGTTTCCCAATTTTCGATTTATGATGACCGACTAATTGAACAAATTAAATCAGTCCAGGCTTGGCCAAGCACTTAGGGGTGTCATCACTAAATCATCGAGGGACCCACAAATATCACTTTTATCCCTCTAAGGGTAAAAGGAATGGATAAACTTTGACCCAAATGCTTGCTTGTACTTACTCATCAAATCACACACAATGATATGTTTTATAACAACCAAGTTACTGGTGCGTTTACATATGTCAATGTGAAACCAACTCGCAACTACAACTCATACGTCTCTGTTTAAAGAATATAAGATATTATCGTTTCATGATCACTCGTGATAAAATCCATGAAGTGATTCAAATGAGCGTGGGTTGAATCTAATACTCAAATCTTATTCCAGGAGCACTCATGAACACTGCAGCCAGTTTGTCCCAAACAAACTACATACCGATTCATGATAGTCTTGACTCAGTACCTACTTCCAAAGTATGATCGAATGTGGATGGTTTGAATAACTTAGTTATTCAGGAACTCAAAACATGCAAAGTGAAACGCAAGAATAATCGAATCCAATATGGTCTCAGAAATTATGAATATAAATAATACACATTTTATTTAATCAACATATTGATTACACATTATTCATTGCATAATGTTTCAAATAATCAACTTATTACTTGAATTAAAACAATAGTTGTCCCATGCTCCAAGCGTGCACACTATGTTTTCTAAACAATAGTTATGCCATACTCCAAGTATGCACACTATGTTTTTTTTTTTTTTATGATCCGTACTTTGTGAAATAGATCAATTGAACATGATTCCATGATGCTCATTTCACAATCCCAAATCCTAACCGTAAATGTAAGAATATCAAATTCTTGTCATTTACAGTAATCTGTTAGATTTTAAACTCATATGCACTGATCCTCTTGTAATGACTATGCACAAAGTCACAAATACTTTTCAACAGACATTACAGAGTATTCCAATGGAGATAAATTCCATGGAAATGAAGTCTCACATTCAAAGTAGATTCCTTTGAACATCCTTTTGGTATTAAGTTGTTTCTAATCTTACATAGATTTGAAGAATAACTTCCTCCTATAGAACCATTTCCATATTCCCATTTTGACTCTTACTTCTGAACAAGAGTTGCCTCTTTTCAGAATATGTCAATATGGTACCTCTCCAAAATTTTACACCATACTTCCAATTATCCATGAGAAACCAATTTAGGTAAACCTCAGATTGTCCTCGACAATTGCTTAATCATTTAAGTTATATTCGGTTCTATTTCTTTTTCCCTCTTAATGCCCTAGGCATTTGGAAAATTTTGAACGGATAAATATTATAGCACATGCAATCGATCCTATATCCGAAGCATACGAGACACGATTCATGATGTCTCACATAAAGACATGATACTTGACCAGTGTTTTGCTACAATATTTCTTATAATTTGCGATGTTCTCATAATTCAAATTATGAAAATGGATGTCGTTATCATAATCGAATTTTAGAACGCAAATAATGTAATCATGACTAAATTTGATTAAAATCTCACAATCTAAGCTTTTAGATTTGAAATGAAGTATAATTTCCTCTCCCTTAATTATAGCAAAACAACGTTTTCAACCCTTGCAACTTCATGAATTGAAACTTTTGTTTTCTCTAATTAACATTGCTAACTTGCAATATTTACCATAAATAATTATGCTCCCACTAGCATAATAATTATTATCTTACTAGCATAACACGTATGCTCCCACTAGCTCTGACAATACTCAGAAATCAACTAGACTTCTAGAAATCGATGCTTCATTGACTTTCATTACCAAAGTTCAGATTTCCGATACGGATGCTTCGATAAAACTTTATATAAGCTTCTCAAAATATACACCTTTCCTTAGATAGCTCACATGTGTGTCTAAACAATTATGAAGAGGGACGCCGTAATTATAATGTTTAGACCTTTTGCCATTCTCACAATTTAAACCATGAAGAGGGATGCCGTAATCATGATCGAATTTGAGAATGCAAACATCACAATTGCTATCTCCTTAAAATCTTATTAGTGAAAGCGTTTCCTCACCATCATTCTCATGAATCAAAGAGAAATATTATGTCACTTAGATTTTATGGTGTATGTGTTCCTATCCATTTGAATTTGTCAAAACCATAATCACAAGACAAGGTTAGTGACAAATTCAAACTCATATGGACTGTACTTGTTCAATCTTAATTTCTTGCCACCTAGCAGCACAAGGGCCTACCATTGCTTCCAAGTTGTTATGCACACAATTGAGAACTCATAGAACTCGCATACGTAGTCAATTTTACCGAAATGGGCACAGAAACAAGAATATGTCAACACGACAGGTCACAAACCTCAAGTCGTGTGCTAGTGTTCAAAAATAGGTTTATTCTTGATTAGTTATTGAGTCTCTTTCAGGATCTTTAAGACTCCCACTGACCTCTTGACATATAAGTTTTTCTTTGTCAAATACCATTACTTGACAACAAATATTCAACAGTTAGTACGGATTCTTATCAAGACAAACACTTCACACAATTGGCCTTAGTTGGTCTTTGTTTTATCCAAAACATCACAACTTACCAATTTCAAATGTACAATACTAGAAAACATTTTACTCTACATTTGACAAGTGTTATAAACCTTCTTTAAGATATATCACTCAAGTTACAGTCTTGGAATATGACACTACTAGAAAACAACATTTTACGACGTGCAATGTGTGTCGTAAAATGCTCAGACGACGCGCAAATACGCATCAAGGAAGGCCCTATCATAACAAGAGACGACACGCTTTTGTGCGTCATCTACAGACGACGCGCATTTATAACACGCAATGCGTATCATTAAAAACCCTGTCAAGAAAGGCCATGTTATAAATGAAAATGACACAAATTTTTACGTATCGTAAATTTAAATGTTTAAAAAATATATATTTATATAGTTATATATTCATTAATTTTTAAATTAAATTTGTTTAATATCTCATAATAGAAATAAAATACCATATAAAAAAAATATAATCCATTGCATAAAATTTAATGTCATACAATTCTATTTCTTACAATATATAAATTTGCATTCATCTAATCTACTCTGTGTTTCATAAAAAAAATCTATTTCATGCGGCTTCTTCCATTTCCTTTATTAGCAGCTTCCATCATTAGTAGCACAACTAACAACTGAAATGAAGAATGCAACACTTGCATTTGCAACATCTTATCTCTTTCAGCTTGAGCTTTCTTTTCCTCTTCTAACCAAAAAAATAGCCCTAGATTTTGCAATTTATCGTGCCTGAATAAGAAAAAGATTGAATGCCTTAATAAAAGAAAGTATATGATGTTGTAATCGAAAGAGATGAAAGTAAACAAATAAATGAAAGTGTGTTGCATTCAGATGTCGGAATATTAACCATGGTAATCATTGCAGATATGTGCCTTAAATATTACAACCTAAATCAACACACCTACACTTTCATTGTCATTACAATTTTAAATGTTTTGTGCATAACATACATGGTGACTAGTTTTAGCAAATTAATTTTGTGTCCATGGTATCAAAACCTCAATTTTAGAATCAAATATTTGGAGATTGTATTTTTCACTATGGTAGTGTATTATGATGGATTGATTATATAAATATATTGCAATGTTTGAAACTTTGTGAACACCACATGCTGTGACATTGGGTGGTTTCATCTCATGTTTTATAAATTTCAAACACAACTTACATCTTTCTTTGGCTCTCTTGGAAAGTCTTTGGTGTTCTTGTTGTTGTCGTTTAGAAGAAAATTAGTTGTTTGTCCAGAAAAATCCCAAATGTATAACTGCACAAAAAACTCCAAATTTCTCTTATTGTAGCTGTGTTATTAATTTTAATGGTAACATGTTATCATTGAATTACCTGCCAAAAATCAGGTTATTCAGTTCTATGAAATAGTAACTAAATAATATGGCATCCTCTATCTTAGGCGACATGTGGGTCGTTGGAGTTACCAGTAACGACTATGACGAACTCTATCTTTCTTTGCCTCCCAAAGTTCACCAGATAATACATCCTGTTTACAAATGAAAATCTCTAAAACATTTATATAAATTTCATTCTAATTATTTTTTTAAAAAAAATGTAATCTCTCACCTTTGACTCTGCTTCTGATGACTCTTGACTAGACCTTTTTACACAAAGTCCAGGAGGTGCTCCTCCTTTTAATGCAGCAGCCTTCAAAAAACATTGTTTAAAACAAAGTATTTTCCCTACTTTATCTATCGACTTAGTCACAGAACAGAACTATTGGTTTTTATTTTGATTTAACCACCCAACTATTGTTTTTTTTTATCCTTAAAACAATCAGAAATAGTTTGGCGGCTACATCAACAAAATGATGTTAATCTGTATTTTACCATTATTCAAAACTGGGTAAAAAAATAAAGACGATAATGTTTTTAATCAGTATATAAAATGATTAAGTGGCTAAAATAAACGGATAAACAAACCTTCCCAAAACATATGGGACAAACTTGACTGATGTAAGGCCATATAAGTAATTTCAAAGAGAAAACGGGAGCAAAGGGCTCAAATGAAAAAGTGTCACAACTTTAAAACCATTTTCTCCAATTGCTTTATCGATTGCAAGGAATTTTTTATTTCCTTTAACCATTTTCTCCAAGTGCTACAAACTTCTGCTGAACAAAATATCTTACCCAAGCAGATGATACATGGAGCAAGTAATTGACATGTTCTTATTCAAAGATTCCAATTAAAATATGTAGTGATCAATAATTTCTCCACATAGTTGTTAAACATACTTTCAGCTAATAGTATGTGTGTGTGTCTGTGTTTTACCAAAGGTTAATGGAAACTTCTAAGCAAGAACACATTATATACTCAACTTCAAGTACATATGGTTACAAATCCACAAAACTGTTTCTGGTGATCCTTTCGATTTAAGCTCTGTTTTTGTATGGATTAATAATTATAAGAAAAGGTTCAACTTATGGTAATGTGACAGCTAATGGAAGTCCTTCTGGAACCTCAACAACAACAATAGTGACCTAGATATTCACCAAATTAGAAGAAGGTTAAAAAAGGAAACTTAATAAAAATACATGAAGTAAATACTATTTGCTAAATAAATACTGCAATAGTAAAAATTTTGATTTCTCCATCAACAGCATCCCCAAGACTAGTTTTCCCAGCAATAAACTCCACTTGATCCGTATCGTCCTTTGTGTGTCCAGTAAAAAACCTAACAAACAAAATTTACTATTTAAAAGCAAGAATGAGAGGTGAAATGACGATTATACCCATGCAAATTTGAATTAATTACCTTATGAGAAGGATGACAAGAAGAGATACAGCCACCACAAGCCCTACTATGCCAATAAATGTAGTCACTCCATTCAAATGCACCTACAAAAAAGTTATATATATAATGTAAATACTAAATATTAAAATAGAAATGACAAATACATTGCATGGTCCCCGATTTTAAGAGATATGCCATCACCCACAAAGATATCAATTATTGAAATCTCCACCCTCCTTCCACCCCTTATAACCTAGTGATATAATGTTTATTTGTCAACAAAACTCAAATATGTTTAAATAAATAAAAGTTATTTAAAAGATAATATCCAGTTATCCACCTCCAATTGTATATTCTGTTTCTCTTCATTTAAGTTCTGAAACTGAAGTGATTGTTTATAATCACTTATGGCTACAAAATAGGAAACAACAATAATGTGTTATATATTTCCTAATACAACATTTAGACATAATTTTATGTATGTAATAAAATCATTGTTTATTTAATGAAGTACTTGTAACGACTATGACAATTATAACAGCTAAAGCTATGCTTCCACCATCATACCATCCTTCTTTATTCCCCTGAAAGAGATGATACCACTGAGAAAAAAGAAAGATATATTTTATAACATGAAAGAAACTATTTATATTACAAAATATACAAATATTATTCACTAACCTCTGTTTTAATACTAAGTGCTAAAGAACAAGCAGCAGCTACCATTAAAATGATCAATGTTGTATCACGACAAGCATCAAACAGAAACCTCTATCAAATGCATATCACGAAAAGATTTAGGTTAAAACATGTTTAGACAATGAATGTCATCAATTTTGGTTTAAAGAGAAGTAAGAACATATAATTACCCAAAAACTTTGCCCCTTTTTCCTTGGGTATGTGTTTGACCCAAACACATTTTTCCTGTTTAATATGTTTGCCTTGTCATCATTAATTCCCTTATCATGATTCATCTTCAAATGTGATACTTTTTTTCTTAATTGAGAAGAAGATGCAAGAAAAAAATAAGAAGTTTGACTTGCAAATGCAGGAAAATATCAAAAGTTTGAGAAAAGGATGCAGGATAAGTGGGAAGCATAAAGGAGAAATCGATAATACCATGTGAAATCGCAGCAGAGATGATGCAGATGCACGAAAAAAAAATCAGAATCCTTTTTGCTTGATTGAGAAGATGAAGTTGAGGTATGAATGAGAAGTCGTGTTCCCCTTATTTGCTGAACGGATGAAGAAATACAACCAAGGCTAGAATTGCAACTGGACTAGGGTTTGTAAACGTGAGGAGTCGTTGTAGATGGAGTAGGGTAAAGGTGAAGAGGAGTTCAGTTACCAATTTTATGTTGAGATTATTGTGTCTAATCGTCGCCATAAAGATACGATCAAGAGAGAATGATCTTCGATTTCTGGAAGGAAGCGAGTGTGTTACAGAGAAAGGGAGGGGGGGGGGGAGGAGAATGAAGGTCGATCCATCGGGTGGAGATCTAAGGAGAGAGTGAGCGGGGTACTTCAAAATTTTGGGGGATTTCGCCCCTTTAGCTATTAATGAAGGATCAGACTCACGTTCTTACAGCACAGAGTGAAGCTAACATAAAACCACGTTTATGGTGGTGGCGACTGCTAGGTTTTACATATAGAAGGATGGAAGAAAATAAAGGTCATCGGCAGGTGGAGAGGAAAGAATGAACGGGTCTTCCAAAATTTTGGGGATTTTGTTTCCTCCGTGTTTGCTAAGTCGAAGAGGCGGGGGTTAATTTTTGTCAATATCATTTCCCGCCTAAAAGGCGTGTTTCATTAAAAAATTATAAAGCGACACACCTACACGACGCACATTTTATGAAAGGCGCCCTCCACATTTCTTTTTTTTGTTTTTCTTTTCTGACACTAACTTTAGGGCACGTATAAACGTGTGTCTTCTATCCTTAAAGTTTTGGAAAACTGACATTAATTTTTAGGGCACCCACAAATGCATGTCCTCTATCAGTGTGTGTCATTGTTTCCACGTCATTAAAGGCCTGTTTTCTAGTAGTGTGACTCTAAGAATTGTTATGGAATGAAGTATGGCTCATCTTCTTGATTTAACCACTTCAACAATTCATGAATCCTCTTCTTAGCCATAAGAATGCACTAAGATGTCCTTAGAGGATCAATTGTGATATGGTATCATAATCATTAAGATGATCATAAAACATGATACTAAAGTACTCTCCCATCTTTTCAGATTTGAGAAACTTTTATCTTTCTGCCTACTTTTATTATTCTCATTCGTTCTACCATACATTGAAAATTTTCCAATGTTTCAGAATTATACTTAAACTTGTAAGTATAACCATATTTACTAAACTTTAGTAAATCATGACGACTAGTCTTATCAATCTTTGTGGTGGACTTAACCAGTGCACAAGAATGTGTACTCGATCCCTTAGTCCTTCATTTGACTCACATATGCATGTGAACAAGGAATTAGTCTTAATTTTCCAAAGATGAAAATTCTCATTCATCATACAATACAACTTGCATGATTCCAAGTTTTTATCCAATAAAACTTGGGTGATGAGAATCTTTCCTCGTTTGGTAAATTTAGACACTACCAGAAATGAAAGAATCAAATTCATATTTCCAATATTGCTAGAAACATACAAACATCAATTTTTCCTAAATGCCATTGCAAGGAGATATAAAACAAAAACAAAATTTTATCTATATATAAAATGCGGAAAAACTTATTTCCTTACAATGCAATTACAAGTGAAAAACTGTGCTATTACATATTTCCTAGCAATCTATCATAACTCCCAAGCAGTAGCTCAAAAATCCGATCTTCAAACCATGCGATTGAAATCCATCTTCGATATCAGATTCAACATATTCTTCTTTTAAGCTTCCTTCCCTTTGCTTGATCCTGCCAAACATCAAAATGCAACCTAGTCACATCATGTATTAAGAACCAACAATTAGAAAATTAACAGAGTTAGATAGTGTACTTACCTGAAGCAGAGTCAAACATTTTGTCTCTACTTTCTTTCAGATCTTTCAGGTAGTCACGGCAGCTTCGCTTCCAATGTCCCTTCTCTTGACAATAAAAACATACAGACTCTTTGGGAATGGTACACGAGACTATCACAGACTTAGCCTTTTTCTCTACCATTTGCTCAACCCGGTTGACCATGGTCAATCCTTTTCCATTAGGAAGAGAAAACTTTTCAAGACTTCCAATGTTACCATTGTCAATGTCCATGGAAATTTCAGAAGTAGATCTTTCACCCAAATTTACTTTTCCAGTGTGCCAAAACATTGCTGATTCAGTAGCAACAAGCAAATAGGTAAGATCAATAAGGTTCATGTCGTGGTCTGTCACATAGTAGTCCTTAATGAACTTACTATATGACTCAGGAAGTGATTAAAGAACCCAGTCAATAGCTAAATTCCTTGGGAAAATGACACCCATATTTGTGCACACACTGGCCTTCCATCTTTGTGTTTGCTATTCAATATGACTTGAGTGACCTAGAATTTTTCAAGTCTTCGAGCTTGTGGGTCAAGGAGAATAATTGGAGGAGGAGGAGGAATACAAGTATGATTTCCATGATCCAACCACGGGACATCATCTTCATTAAGCTTATCCCAAGAGATTTGGGAAGATCATAGTTGTCTGATCTAGACATCTACAATGGGAGAAATTCAAGTTAGTTGATTTAAGTCCTTAATATAACACCAAATATGAAATATTAAGGCTAGGACCCAACATAATATTTTATAACTTGGAAGAGGGATGCAGTAATCCAAGCTATAAAATATTTGAAGGTAGGCGAATGACGATTCACCAATTTCCACCATGAAAAACAAAATAGATATTAGGTTTCAATTTGATTGAAACTCCTAGATCTTTTACAATCCATTGAACTTTTCAATGGCATGTTTAAATCTTGATTGTGCTCCTTCAAGTTTGTGATTGGGATGCCGAGGATCACTAACAAGGTGTGAATAACCATGCAAATTAACTTGGTACCCTTAACTTTATCACCTTATCGATGTGTCGGTTAACCACATGCGGTCCACCAATCTATGATAAACATTAAGTTACCCTTGCCACTCTTACTAGTCCATGTTAGTGTGCCAGTTAACCACACACACTCCACCAACGACTTGGTAAGGTACAAAGTGTAATTTCATAGGTTAGTATCATATTCACATTTTCCTAAACTAACTAAGATTGGGAATTTATAAGTGTTTAGTTACTTTATATTTATCATTATACTTTTAATGAAGGGAGAATTAGAGTCCTATCCTACCCGTTCGGCTAACGACCCTCCACTAGTCAAGGAAGCGGTGGGTGAGAGCGGACACCCATTAAACTGCCATTTTATAGGCAGTAACCTTATACCCCCTTATAGACCGGCTTCGTGAATGAGGCCTACTAACGGTAAGATTGAATTTTACTCTTATATATATATATATATATATATACATATATATATATATATATATATATATATATATATATATTAAACCTATAATATTATAATAGTATACGGAACTATTTAAAATTCTAGGGTTTGAAACTCAAGTATTCAAAAGTGTAACTTTACAAATTCCAAAACTTGAGAGAAAGTTTTGAACAATTCAAAAACTTTTGGAATCTATAACATATGAGTTTAATATGGCTTTTAATGACTAGACTCTTGAAAATCCATAACTTGAGGACAAGTTATGAATGTCATAAAACAATTTATGGGAAAAAAATTCTTCAAAAACATAACTCATGACTTTTAAAGACTCATTAACAAGAAAAACTTTTGGTTTTCCATAACTTGAGGAAAAGTTATGGAATCCATTAAAGGTCATTTAGATCATCTAATAAACAAACAGACATGTCAAGAAAAACTATGATCTAGATTAAACTCATATGAACAAGACAATTCAAATCAAACAACTTTCATGTAATTAACCTAACCATTAAACTAATACAAAACATGAAACTTTTGAAAATTAACTTTTGAATTGGATTAGAATGATCATTACCACATCAAAATAGGTTTATAAGTTCAAAAACAGCTTAGGGTAATGATTTTAGTCCAATTCTTGCCTTATTAGTCGAAAATTTGCACTCTGGGTCTCCAACTCGTCGAATGTATGAACTAACTTGGCGAGTTGGTCAGTTTTTGCCTTGGACTCGGCGAGTCCACTGTCCAGAAAACTGGCTTTTCGATTTTTTCAGCAATTGCATCAAGTATAATTGAAAAACAAGCCTAGGCTCTGATACCACTGATGGGTTTTGAGAATTCTAACACTCATATGGTGTACATGGAATCCTATGTGCCTTGGATCTATGTTTTCACTATTATACATGAAAATATACAAAATTCCAAAGCATCATCCTTACTAGCATATTATGGAGCAGCTATACTACAAAAGTCTAGTTAGATGACATACCTTATGATGGAGCTTGAAGTCTTGAACCTTTAAGAGCTTAGCTTAATAGTGTGGAAGCCTCAAATGGAATCACACAACTCCATCAACAAATGGTATAACTTGAGAAGAAGGTTACTTTGGTTCTCCCTATGAAAATTGGCCCTTTCCCTCACTCTGTGTATCTACTAGTGCCATTTCATGAACCATGGGATCCTTTATATAGTGTGGCTCATTACGGTTACACCATGTAAGCCCTAATGTGCATGACTTTCCATTTCTTTCTTGATCCATAAGTTTTAACATCCATGGATTATCCATAGGTTACCATATAGGTTAGGCCCAACATGAAGGACAATGGATCACAAGCCCATATATATAAGAATGAATGATTTACATAATCAATCCCCATATATATATATATATATATATATATATATATATATATATATATATATATATAATTAGTCTCTTTTGATCACAAAATTAATTCCAAATTAATTCTTGATCAATACTAATTAATTAATATGATTTCATATTAATATATTAG